GTTGCAAATCGAATGAATAGGTAATGCAAAATGATTCAAAATTTTAGTTTATTGTTAATGAGACGACATACATTGTTGGAATCAAACGATTTTCCCTTTGTAATAGATATTTAGACTCGACAGAGATAATAATGAGAGAAGATTTTTTTGAAATTGGTTCCTAGGATATGTTTGAAATACCTATGATTTAGATTTTGAGAGAAATTATTGGGATGTATTAGGTTTTTTTCGAGGGGTATTAAGATATTTAGCTCAGCTTCCTCTTATAATCCTGAATGTGCTCATTTATATATATATATTATAAATATTTATAGAAACAATGAAGGGCTTATGAATTATGAATGATTAAGAAAATAATCCAGATGGTTAACAAAGAAACAAAGAATTTCCTTTTCGATGAGAAATAAATGAGAAACATTTTAATTTAGGAATGAAATAAAATGTACATTTGTTTTTGCTTATTTTGATTAGTTGTTAGTGAATAATTATTACAACCTGGGTCGAGAAGTTACAAAAACAGTAACGGTTACGATTTATACGTTTTCAACAAAATTGATTGCTTAGTTGTACTAAAAAAATAATGAATAATTCTCAAGAAAATAAATGTTTTATAATTAATTATTTTGTTGATATGGTATAATTGTTGAAAATAATTATTTAAATATTATACATTTATATTTGAAGATAAAAAAATATAGACAGCAATATAAATCGTAGACTACAGATAATTATTAGACATATATGATATTAGTTCTATATATTTGATAGAGGATCTAAGTTCGCTGCACTTCATTCGTACGTTCGTATGTTTCGGGGTTATAAAGGTTCGAAAGCCGATCAGTGGATAGCCTTATAAGTTAGATAAAATAGCACTTACTTGTTCTGTGGCAGATTCGATCATGTACAACTATTGTAGAGGTAGAGTGAAGGTGAAAATCAAGACACATTACATCACATCAAATCACAGACACCGTATTTAGAGCTAACTATGGATACTCCTCGACACTCGCCCAAAAAACACAAAACTTAAAAATTAATGCAAAACAATGATACTTGGATCGTCAAAAGGTTAGCCTGTGACTAGTGGCGCAACTAGAATTGGTTTTTGGGGGGGTTGTGAAATTGAAAAAAGTAAGCACTTTCTGCAGGTGTTTGGTTGGGATAAGGAAGTAAGATTAAGTTAGGTTTATGAGTAAGATATTTAAATTACAAATTAAATTGTTTAACTTCTATTTCATATTGTGATGCCACAAAAAAAAAGTATTATAGGTACAACTAATATCGAGAAATCGTAGTAGTAAGGTTATTGATGTTTAAGTTTAACGGAACGTTACAAAACGTTAAATATTGTCATATTATTATTGTAATCAATTATAATACGAATAATATTCAAATATCATATCAATCAGCCATTTCGCGTCTTCAAGATAAAAATTTTTTTTTCTTAAGTAGAATTTGTAAAAACAGCAGAAAAATTTCGGGGGGAAGGGGGTTCACAATTCCCAAACCCCACCCCTAGTTGGGCCACTGCTTATGACAGCTAACCTGCGTGATTTGGGTGCATGTTGTCGAAAATCAAGTTTTAGAATTCTGAGTTGTAGAATGACAATATTTAGAAAATCTATATTTTAGAATATGGAACTTTTAGAAAATCTTTGTTATAGAAAAATGTTAAATGGTGTTTTAGAATATAAAATATTTTTGATCGGAAAAACGGGAAATATCAAAAATACATAATATTTGTAAATATAATGCTGTGTTGCTCAGTAATCGTTATCAAGATTATATTTTATTGATATTGCCAAGTATTACCGTAGAATTAATAATAATAATTATTATAATTAATAATTAATTAATAATAGACTTTTATATTGATATCATATGTGATTATATCTGATCAAGAATACGAAAATTATCAAAAAGTAGTTCACTTTAGTCCAGTGCCGTACATCATACCAAATACATACGTAGTGTAACATAAAATTATTATAAATTTTTTGCCGAATTGCAAAATACAATTTCCAATATTACATTGACATTAATGAAATTGACTCATCAAAAACATGATATGTTAGATTTAAATGGGTTTTTATACGTTTTCAATCAAATTTAAATTCGTTAAATTGATGAAAAAATAGTTTATTATTAGAGATCTCGCAACTGTACAGCTAAGTTTCAAACTATTATGATTGCCAATACACACATATCCGATGATAAAGGTAAGCATTTAGTATTTCCGATCAATGTCATGGCCCAGTTCCGCAGATAATTGAATGTAAAAAAATTAAAAATGTCATAAAAAGAAAGGCAGCTGAGACTAATGATAGCAAGTTCTATATATCAAGATTCAATTTGACAAGTGGAAAATATTATAGCTTCTTAAATTTCAAAATGCTCAGCTAAATCAATTTTAAAAAGACAAACAAAAATAAATATCAAAGAACCAAACCACATTTCTGATCATAATGATTTATCTGTTGATACATTGAGTGGAAAGACATTTTTAAATAAAACTGTTAAACGAAATGATGATTATATCATGGCTTTCACAACAATTGAAAATTGTTATTATTTAAAGAATTCACAATTTTGGATTTTAGACGGAACTTTTAAATCATGTCCTAAGCTTTTTAAACAATTTTATGTTGTGTACGGTTTAATTTTGCGAGATGGAAATGAAATGGTATTTCCATTAGTATTTGCATTAATGACTGGAAAAGATGAAGATTTATGTAATATGTTATTTTCTAATTTAAATCAATTTGCTGAAGAAAATGGAATTGTTTTTAAAGAAAATAATAATTTGAAAATAATAACCGATTTCGAACAGGCAGTGATTAATGCAATCAATACCGTATTTCCGTTTTCAATCCACTCGACATGTTTTTTCCATTTAAACAGTCAATATATCGTAAGATCCAAGCGTTGGGTTTGTTTACAAAGTACCAAAATGTACTCGAGTTCAATTTTCATGCCCGTAAAATTACAAGTTTAGCATTTTTGCCCCCGGAGAAAGTAAAGGAAGCGTGGGGTATTTTGAAATCTGAATTTGATGACGATGAAATTGATCTAGTTACATATTCTGAAGAAAACTACGTGGTTGGAAAAATTAGAATGAGGTTTAGAAAAAAAGAAGCAACGCGTTACGAACCATGTTTTCCAATTGATATGTGGTCAGTACAGTCGAACTGTGAACGAAATGCCAAGAACATCCAATTCATCAGAAGGTTGGCACAACAAAATATATGGTTTATTATCAATTCATCCTGGTATACATTCGTTTATCTCCAAAATTCAAAAAGAACAACATGAAACTGAATCAACAATCGAATCGTTGATTTCAAATAAAGTATTCAAGAAAAGAAAATATAATAAAACACGAAATAATAACTTATTGCAAATATGTAAACGAATAGTTGATGATTCTAATTATAATTTAGATGAATTTACGAGAGTTATTGCTAATAATCTTAAGTATTAACAATTATTATATTTGTTTTTTATTATAAAAGAATTATTAGAAAACATTATATATGAGAGTTAACAGCATAAAAAATAAAAATATTTCTAAACATTTAAATTTTAAAAGTTTTATTTTCTAAAACATAGTGTTTCTAAAACTTGATATTCTAAAACCCAACATTCTAAAAATATGACTTTCTAAAACCTGCCTCAATACCAACCTGTTCAGGTACCGGTGATCAGTGCGCACGTACTGTGTCCGCAGTGAGCGCGGTCCGTACGTACTGACGGCTTATAGGTGAAATGCATGGGAGAGGGTTGTATTTTCCTGTTATATAGGGACGTATAGCGGGATGGACCTTGGAATGGTCCTTTGAGGATATGACTTATTTAATTTGTCACTAGGTTATTGTTGGGTTAGATCTCTATTACTTGAAATGTGTTGTCTGTTCGCGTATCGAAAGAATCGTTATTAATTGTTTTTATTGTTTTTTTTACATATTAGTAGTATACATCATTACAATATTCTTTATATCAAGGCACAATACAAAAATCACTGAACGCTTGGGATGGGTATCGCGTCATCCACAAATTAATAAGATCAACATACATTTTAATAAATATATTATATATTTTGTTTCTCTCTCGATAAAGTTGATTATATATTAACTCGAGCTCCTACTTACACTTTTAAAATGTATAAACCAAAGTAGGGATAGGGAACCTGTACTTAGCGTTAAGACGAACTGCTGAGATACTACGGATAATTATACAGGCTCTATTCATCAAATTACTGGCATAAAACCTATTTACATATCTATAAATACAATACTTAACGACTATATTATGATATAATATATATATATATATATATATATGTAAAATATCGCGTTCAACACGAACGGAATATAGTGTTGCGTAGTTTTTTCGGGTGATTAATATATTTTTGATGTTTATAGACTTATATTACTTTTATATACTTATATATATATTAATACTATTATATATAAAGTTAAAATATAACACTAATATTATACGTTCGTATTTTTTGGTTGAAAACATATGCGTTTCTTGCAATCGACGATAAAATACTATACATACATACATACATACTTGTACTACATTATATTATATTATCCTATTGTTGTTATACATGTATCTACCGTTTTATTACAATACATAATAATTGTATACAATTTTTTTCTTTTTTTTTGGTAAACGGTCTTGTCTACTTGCGCGTGGGAGGCCACGCGTGAATCGCTTTGCGCCCTTCCTGACATCACGACATATACATCTATATACCTCAATTTACCTACCACGTTAATGTATTATAAACATGTACGTATAATAATAATAATAATATTAATAATGAAACTATAGTCGTATATACAATTATACGCTCGATTATAATGCAACACCGGAGTCCACGGAGGCGAGAATACGGTGGTGGAAATCCACTCTCGCCCGCACTACTGCAGGTCCACACCCGCCTACCACTACAGCTACAGTATTGTACTTACTGTCCGTTTCTTTTTCGTCTTTCACCGTCGTCATTGTCGCCGCCTTCGCCGCCGTCGTTCGTCGTTCAGTCAGTCCTGTATCGCGGTTGTCGAAAGCAATACGCACAATACACATTGTACGCAATCGTGTTTTACTCGTCGGTACACAACGGTAATAATAATAATAATAATTTATAATAGCTAAAATAAAATAAATAACATTTACAGCACCGACGAACGTTTTTGTATACACTCCACTCGCGGAGAATTACGGATTACGACGAAACCGCACGTTCGCCATTTGCGAACAGTCAGTAGCAAGCAGCAGCGGTCGGTGACAAATACACACGCCGTACGCAGAATACACGTATGTTACGTATTTCATTATACTGTTGTTGCATACATAGAAATATAATTTATCTATAAATATATTATGTGTGACATACTGACATGTTATAATCGTAACAGCAATACGACCAGCTCAACAGCCGTCTCCTTAAAAATAAAAACAGCGCTCAATTACGAGTGCGTTCTCGTAACATCCGGTGAACCTGATCATCGCGGATACCAGCAGCAATCATGGACAAACAACAGGAAGCCGTAGCTGCAGCAGCAGGTGCAGTATCGGACGACAGCATTAGCATGAAGACAGAATATCCTACGCATGAGGTCTACGTCTCCGAACCGCCACCGGTGAGTAAATATAACTATCGTAATCAGTTTAGAAAAAAAGTGAAAAATCTGTAAATAGTCGTATGAAAAATCTTGGTTTATCATTGTTTGCCACCTGTTGCTGCCACGATGGCATCGGTGATGATCGTCACACTCCATTTCCGCTCGCGAGAAAGTCGAAAACACGAGCGCGCACACAGTCGAACGGTAAAACCGCATAAAACTTTGTATATAAATATAATACATGTACCGGAAATGTATCTGTTTTTGTTCGTTCTTGTAATAATCATGGTGGTGTGTAATCGCTGTGGGTTGACCCGATAAAAGTTAGATACATGCTTTACCTGCGAATGCTCGAATGAGTATATTATACACCCATTATTGTATAAACTCACGGGAAATTAAGTATACTGTTTTGCTACTGTATTGCATGCTGTAGGGTATTTCGTACGAGAACTTAATAATATATTATATGATAGCGAGACTAAATATTTTTTAGATATCAACCAAATATGTACTATTTAGGTATGATATATATATATTAAACAATTACCATATAGGTTATACGTGTGAACATTACTGCGAGAGTAAAATGTAGAACGTTATGTGTATCACGTAAATTATTTTTAACACGTTTTCAATTTAGTAGGATATTTTATGTATATATTTTTTTACGTGAAATCTATCGATCGTGGTGCAATAACAATGGTCGATAAAAATTAATCGCTTTTCCGTACATACAGAAGAAACTGCAATAGGTGTATATGTAGGTAATAGGTGATAGGTATTATATATATATCTGTATATGATATGTCTGGTACGCGGTAAATCGTGTGTTGTATGTACACCTGTCTGTTTCGTAGCGCACGCGTACACGAAAATGGAAGTATGATGTAAATGCTCTAATAGCCCAATTGTCTAATATAAATTATAATAATACCGTGAAAACTTTCGAAGATAAATACAGAAAACACTCCGAAAATTATACTATTGGGTCCGGTCACTGCAGTTAAATTGAGAAGAGGATATATTTGATAAACCGCAGATATTTTTATTTAATATTAAATATTTTTTTAAACTTATGAACGATTCCATCATGGAAAAGTTTTCACTGTAATATATATCTAAAGTGTATGTCTCGATGATTTTAAATTTTTTCAAGTGATTCGTTCATACAATTTCAATTTCTCAAAACCCCTTTGAATATATATCCAGTATACAAGATGCATTTGTTATGCAATTTGTTAGATCATTCTGTATTATTACATTATGTGTTTATATGTATCGTCTTTGACAAGCTTATTCTGATCGGCGCAACAATTAATATGGCTTACGGGACAATGCCATCGAGCAGTTAACCAGTAACTTTATACACAAAGTATAATCGGTCAAATGGTGACGACAAGAAAAAAATATGCACACAGACGAGAGGGTGTATCTTAATATTAATGTTAGTACATGTCATGTGTATACTACCGCCGCCAAAGGGAAAATTATAATAATACAATATTTTATGTATGTAGACGCACACAGACGCAGACACCCAGGTATATATATATACAAAATATATTATAATAGTAATGTAATATTTAAAAAAGATGGTGTGTCGAGGACAACTGGGTATAACAATTGTATACTGTATGTACGTATAAGCAGTATAGTAAATATCCTTTCTCTTCGGCTCTTGTACCAGGTAGGCGCGCATATTACCTTGAGTCTGATTCCTATATGTACAATGCGCACTCGCGCTAATAGTCGTGCGAGTTGGTTTATTTCTATTTTTACTATGAATTATAATTTACAGTGCCCTACGTAAATATATTTGTAAAAAGCTTTTCATGGTTGTCATTCGTTAAACTGCGTTACTGCAAACAAGGTCGTCTGGTGAAACTGTGTGTACAGGTATTCGTGAACGTCCAAGATGGTCGAAATATTGATGGGTTGATATTTTGTGATAATTAATTTCGGTCTAAGTCAACTGATCCGCTGATTAGAGAGTCGAGAAGAATTCTGTGATATAAATTTAAAAATTGACTTCACTGACGATCCCTCACTTAGGATAAATAAATTCATACATTTTTTTTCGCAATTTACAATCATCGTTTTCTAAGAATAATAATGCTGCTCATCAAATTTTTATTGCCAGAATGTTATGTATACATGAAACATAATATACAACATCAATAACAACAACCACCATTATTTAGATAAAATATGTAAATGTTGCGGTTTTACGTGTGTCGCCGTGCGTATTAATGTTTTGCTGTCAAACCGGCTGTTAAACAGGGTCTTTTCAGTTCCAAGTCAAAAATTAACTATATAGAATGTATAGAATGAATCTTCTATAGATGTTTCTGCTTAGTTGGCTGGAAGATTTCCAAATAATTTATACATAGTTGCACATCGCACACACGTAAAATATAATTCTTATTTAACATTTATAGTATACATAGTGATTAAATAGATTTAATACATAGGTGATAGGTATTTAATATTTTTAACCGTTACTACTTAGACGAAATTCACATGTAGCACGTTCCATAACATGACTTAAATTTTTGAGGTAACGATATTGTTATAATCTATTATGTTGTACTTTCTCAGTGGATGTTTAAGCGCACAAATTGCATACATGTGATAAACTCAATTTCACTCGGGTTACAATAAATGTAAATAATATATATACGAGTATATATATATATATATATATATATATATATATATATATATCATTGTATACTAGCACGCACGCTTTCTCTCTTGATACGACCCATTAAATGATTTATGAATTTGACGGTTTTTTTGCATTAGATTAATGCCTTTAACGACGAATTTTCGCATTAACTAACTAATATCAGACTTTCCATTTCTATGAATTGACTATGAATTAATGATAAATTAAACTGATGAATAAATGATAAATTTGAATTGACATATTTTGAAAAAAAAACGAAAATAAAAGGTTCATGGCGATAATGTATTTGCGTATTCTTGTGTATGAATATTTATAAGGTATTAAATCAAGTATTAAATTAGTAATAATGTCATTGTTTCTACGGATCCTAATTAATTATTATTAACAAAGAATTTCATAAAATACGTATAACATGATTTATTATATTAATATATGACATATTGGAATGTAGAATTGTGTGAGTTTCAATAGATTATCGTAAAAAAATAATATTGTTTAAGGCAGAATGTCAATAATAAATTAAACTTTTAATTTTTTCTTTGCTAACTGTGTACAGTTTGTTATTGGAAAAAATATCACACATATTTTATTTGTTCAGAAATATTTTTATGTATTCATATGAAAAAAACAATATATTAAATTATATAGAAAGTATGCTACACGACTTAATAAAAAAAAAATGTTACTACGAAGTTTTCATAATTTTTTCTTAAAATATTTTAATATACGATTATTATCATTATGTAATGGACAGTCCGACATTTGGGTTTCTATATAAAGTCAGAAAATTAGAATATTTTTCTTCTTAAGAAAAATTATGCATTTTCTCACACACATACACACACAAAAGGTAGAAAGTTATGTAATATAATAATTCATAGTACAATTGTTGTTGCTGGTTGTTACATTATATGCTCTCTAATGAACAGGAATTGTTAAAATGTATAATGAAATTTAATTACCGTGTCATTGATTAATTTGGCTTGTGACTACCCATTTATAATAAGTATAGTATAGGTACTTCACATGTTATATATTGTATCCACCATTTCAATATTGATTAGGACAAATTTAGTATTCAGAAATTGCTATAACTGTACCTAACTATTGTACTGAAAATTTGCACTAACGAACATGCTATTATTTTTTTCATTTAAAAAATAAAACTTAGATGGACGGGTTTGAAGGTAGAAACGTTACTGAAACAAACTGCAATTGTAATGAAAACATCACGTTCACAGGTTTAGACAAAAGAAAATAGGTGTGTTTTATTATTAATTAGCTATTGTTCTTTAGTTTTATTTTGTTTATGTTTTGATCATTAAAGTCATAAATCAATATTACCGGTTATAAAAAAAAAAAAAAAATTGTAATGGTTTAAGATATCAGTTTTTTAGTTTTATTGAACTTGACTGAAAATCACACTATGCATTTTTTCCAAAAAATATCAATCACCAACTATCTTGGTAAGTATTTTATAATTTAATTTAACATTCAATTTGACTTATTATGTACCTACTTGTACACAATTATAATGGTACATTAGCGGACACAGTGTGTGTGTATATAAATTTACATTTTATGCTTTGATATAAATTTAAAAACAAGTGTTACGTAGGAGCATGCATATTGAAGGCATTCCGGTTTTTTTGTTTATATTAATACGTTTACTTAAAGAAAAAATATATAGTTAGTTATACCACCTATCTATAATTGAATTATTCAGAAAAAAAATTATGTTATAAATGGAAAAAACGATATTTTATTGTATATAATATATATATATATATATATATATATATATATATATAATTAATTATTAGTATTTATATTTTACGAGTTCAACGCTATGCTCTGACCATGTATTTATCTCGAATAATAATAAGTGTAGAATTGAACGCTGTAAATAATGGAAAAAAATTCACCCGTTCGAGCATATTTAGTCAATATTGCATAACTATGTTTACTACAGCTATCAAATTACACAACGAAAATAGGAACATATCTTTTACACGCATTACTTCATCATAATATTTTTATTCTAGCCCCGCCAGGTTCAATGAACCATACGCTTTCTCCTTATTGAATACACATACACACACACACACACACACACACACACACACACACACATATATATATATGTATATATTGATTTGCGAACAATATGACAAAATAATAAAACGATTATTGAATAATAATATCAGCAAAAAATGCCTATAATAATTGTATGTGTAATATAATTTTTTTTTTATTATTGTTATTATTATAAAGTAGAAATTAGTAGGTAAAACGTATGAAAAAAGAGGTACCAGTAGAAAGAAAAAAACCGGTGCAACGTTAGTGTTTTCCTGATTCGTGCCAAATGTTCTGCAACAAGACAATCATCGACTCGTTCCTATCTATATACCTCTGTATACCGTTATGTTATACGACCGCTGCTTCACGTAACCTATACAGATATCATGAACCATATCTAATAATTTTGGCAACCAGTGATCACTGGTGCTTATAACGAAACAATATACTCAACCTTAATTATTTAAGGAATTTTTTTTTCCATCATCAATACGCCATGATTGTTTTTTTTTTTTAAATTTGTATGTTTTGACGTAGATTTGCAAATATTATTCAAACCGTTTCGTTATGAGTATATTGAATTGTGTGCATGATTAATACAATTGTATACAGAATACGTCAGCATTTGTTTTATAATATAATAGATGCACACATTTCAATAATATTATTGTTGAGTGCGTGAGCAGTACACAACTGCAGTTTAAACAGATACCTACTATTTAAGTTTGTCCATATGCAGCTGTTGTAGTATTCAAAAATAAAACATATAATATTTATTTGGTTTAATTTTTTTCTTTTTGCTCATCTATATTTACTATTACAAGTAGCTTAAAAATATGTAATTTTTAAATGTCTAATAGTGTAACAAAATCAATATGATTCATTAATCGTAAAAACTATTTTGAATTACAAATAGATTATTTCTAAACGATTAAAATTATACTGGTATCCATATTCTGTATAGGACTGATACTATTATATTTTGGTCAGTAACATAATATGATATATTTATATATTTAATATGAGTGGGATCTAACATTATATATCAATGTAATTTGATATAATTTTTAGGTAGATACGTGTTACCTATATATACCGCAATACGCATTTCAAATAGATTTCCGGGATCGATATCTATTTAAAATGTATTATAATATGTTCAGAATACTAAGTATTATATACAGGATCCATTTACCACGGACCATTTAAATTATTAATTTTTTAAATGCGTAATAGTTATAATAATTGTCCTAAACGTTTTTATTTTGAAAAATTATAAACTGAAATCGAGAAAAGAACCATATATTATATGTACCAGTTTAAAACATTAGCTTTGTATTAATTGTTTTAATATTAGGAATGTGTCTTGAAAAATAATATTCTGGATATATTTTTACATTCTCTAGATAATTATTTTTGTGTATAGCATAAACATATAGGAATTAAATAAATTAACTTTTGGTTAATTTAGTAATTTTGCGGCGTGTTCTACAGTCAATGGTTATTATTACATTGCGATGAATTATATAGATAGAGATTTATGTAGGTGTCTAACCTATATTATACTTCACAAATGAAGCATATGACATGATGATATTGTATGATTTAAAGTTATCATTAATTACGATTTGTCTAATATTACAATATTATATTTAGTTTATACACAACCTTTAGAGGGGTAAATTCAGTGAAACAAAATTCTCCATAGAATGGGTTGTTAGAAATTATATACCTAATTTTTTGGTGGTTGACTTAATGTTCAAATTTGCGAAAAAATACTACTGTTCCATTTATTTTGCCAGTAAATCGGAAATCGATAATTCATAATTATCTTAGCGTGTCTACAAAGTTACATTATTTTTATATATTTATTGAGTAAGACAAAATTTATAATAAGCTATTTTATCCGTTTTTCGTAGTACCCTTAATGATTGTCAATTATAGTATTATCATAGCTGTCTACATAATATATTTTATATAGAGCAATAGAGTAAAAGGTTAAATGATTGGTGTTAAAAATGTACTAGTTAAAAAAAAATATTTCTAATAATTTAGAGAAGCTAATCGTTTTGTTTTTATTCTACCTTTCTATATGTATATAAAATATAACATTTTTCTACAACAAACATAAATTATTATCATATTTTCAATTCATTCCGCAAAAACAATAAAGTTTTATATTTTGACATTTAAATTACACATATGTTCTGTCACCCTAACGATATACGATAGTGTAAAAATATTAGAAGTGGAAATTTAACTAACAAATTATCCTACTTTTATTATTATATATAGATACAGCGTTTTCAAAGTAATTAGTAGTGGATATAGATCGTAAACAATTTTCATTCTCTAATTTTTCTTTGCATTAATGCCGATTACAGAGGTCAAATGTATTTAATAATTCATTACGTCACAAGAAAGCGAGTGTTATTTTTATTTGTCAGTATATTTACAGCATTTCGATTATTTATCAACAGTGTTGTATGCATTTTCACAACTGTTTTACTGCATACCATGTATTTATATATAAAAATAGCTATAGTAGTCGTACCATAGTACAATGGTGTATGATGTATAGACAAAAATAATTAAAAATCTCATGATATAGAAAGTAGCTTCCTCGTTAAGCCATCGTTTTTTCCCTTCTGAAATTCAATTCAATGGACTGGTCTCATTAACACCTGACACGCCAGCTATTAATTACATTATGATCTATGTAAATTATTGACATGGAAAACACAATGAATTCGTTCGATTTTAACACTTTCCCGCTATATCTACGTATTTTATGTGGACAGACTGCAGTTGAAGGTATTTGCGTCAAACGGTTAGAATTATCGTGAAAATCTCACGTTTTTCGCATAAGCAAATGTTTACTTACACAGTCGTAACGCAATGTGCATCTGATTTTACATTGTCGTTTGCAAGTGCGCAGCAGGACTTTAGCCACTGCAAATGCAATGTATTTGTTTTCGCGCTGTATTGTATTTCCGTAGACGGCGGGAAGTCGATAATTATTAACCTCATGCAACCGTGACAACTTACAACGAACATAATGAAACATCTATCGGATGTGTTCATATGTATACGAAAGACCGATTGATCCTAAACCTGGGGGTATTTATCACGTGGCTGTTGACCAAGTGTACTCGTCGTTCACCTATCACGTGACGTATGCCTTTTCATTTTCGTGCCTAGAATATTGCGGTTGATACATTATGTATTGTAATACACTATTTAGCGAATTCAGTTTTCTCCCGTTAACAAATTATATATATATAATAGTTGCCTGCATGTTCGTGGTATGTTAGGTGCTCCATAGTTACAGCGCGTAGCAATTGTCTATTGGCGAGCACTTATCGCTGTAATTTTTTTCTTTCTTTTTTCCTTCTAATTTGTTATATTTATTATCGATTTGGACATCCGTGACGGTAGCAACGGTAATCGAGAAAGTAAGTTGCCCCGCGCTCCTAAGAAAACCGCTATTACGACTTTTCTTCGTCGTGGAAACCATAGTTTTTTCAATTGCTACTACGCGTTTATGGTTCTATATTATAGGTATACTATACATTTGTATTGGGAGACAAAGGTAAATATATATATGTATACATCTGAACGTTTCTTTTGCGGAACAAAATGTGTTTATGTTTGGAATACGAGTTATAACAGTATATATAAATATATTTAGATATCTATATACACAATGAAACGGGAAAATTTAATAATATAATATGACGTATAATTTAATGAGGTCTACTCGAGTTCCATTAAAATTATATTAGCATAGTATATAGATATATGTATATACATTTTATATCTTAATAATTCGGAAGGTAAATTAATTGTGTATAGGTGCGACGCAAGTATAAAAATTCTAATTAGTATACTCTAATGCATGTAGAAAATGTAGTACAACTGCATACAGCCAAGATCAAAATCGTGTAACAACCGTGAAAGTATACTCGTTTATGAAAAAAGTATACTTATAGTCTAGACGTATGAAATATGTATGTACATATGTTCATAAAATATAAGCTTATATGTTTTTTCAGAAGAACTTGAAAATATTTATAATGTATTTGTGTAAATATATATGAGGAAAGCTTAATCGAACCGTGGGTTACGAATCATGAAAATTCGTGATTAATTATCGTCACGAACTATTTAAACCGGTGACTTGAAGAATACACTTATATGGGGATACCTACTTTTGAATTCGGAAATCGTGATCAAAATATTCGTTGCGTGTCGACCTACCTATATATGTTTTATTATATCTGATATTTCGATCCACCTGCAGCTATTTTTACATCACAAACATAAAACCATGCAAATATGCTCATCTCATTCAATCCTGTTCAAAAAATTCTATTGTGATAATAATAACAACAAAGTAAAAAAAAATCTGCTGTTATTATTGTTTTGATTATGAGTGTGTCTAAAACCATTGAATATAGAATACATGTATTCTATAATCAATTCTATAACTTAAAAATATAAAAAAAATAACAATGCACGTCGTAATATATTATACAAACTGTAATTATAAACCATTTATTAATTAAATACGATTTTAAACAATCATGTTTTGAAATCATCTGAGTTTGAAAATTACCGACTATGCTATAATAAATCAAATACAATAAAATATATTATTGATGGTTTTATTTTTTTATTCCAACTTGTGTATAGTTAACTTAAAATTACATATATTTAATGCACTACATAGGTTTATAGTTAAAAATTATCGACATTTAATATACAAAGCATCATTAGAATTTAATTTTTAAAACATGTTCCTTTAAAGTTATGAATTCAACGAAACACAAATCATGACAGGTTACTATACATGAAACGAAAGTATATAAACGTTTGTTTTGACAAAACAAAAAAAAAAAAAATACATAAGCAATGAAAAATTTAAATACAAACTATTCGATTGGTGGTGTTAAAATAATAATAAAAATATTTTATATGTATTTCAGGCGTACAAATTGAAAACTCGACCGACCGCCGTTCAAATAGCAAGAATAGCGGCATTTACTGTGATCGCGTGCTCATTCATACTGGGATCTTTTATGTTGGCTGCTGCTTGGTTACAAGCAAACGCGTCCTGCTCACAATTGATGCATGCAGAAGCACTTCTTAGACAGGTATCTATACACAATCACGGCTAAGATTTATTGGTATATTAACCGTACATTAAATAAATATATTTAATTTGTTATAAATTTTGTAAAAACAAAGTAGTGGGTTACAATTCACCATCGTTCCTGCGGACTTTATTATTTCTAATGAAATTATTACATCAACTATACAGTTCTATAATGTAATCGAATTATGAGTTTCACTATAGAGTTTTAGATATCAGTGAAATGTATTTGCTAATAAGTATTTGTTATGAAACATTGAAAGTTCAAATGTTTTTCTGTTTTTAATATAATGTATGAAATACACATCTTGCCCAAACGTATTTTTGTTGGCTTGTGATTCCAAAGTTGTATATTGGTTTCAGATTTAGTGATCTTATTGAAATTTTAGACATTCCACTTTAGAGGATTTGAGCGTTAAAGTCTTTAAAATTTCAATTCGTGGTAGATCTATTATTTGTCATCTTGTAATACGCTGAATTATGGTGGAACTGTTTTACTATTATCCGTGGCCAAAACAAAATTATTATTGTATCATTATTCATTAATATTTATTATCAAGTTAATGGTTTGTTTCACTCGAGTGGAATTTTTTTTTTTTAAGTATCTATGATTATTGTAATATTATTCCAGCGTATACTCGTTTTATTTATAAAAAAATAATTTAAAATTATGTACCAATCTGGCAATTCACTTATTTCGAAAGGTATATCTCCTACAATTACAATATATTACAATTAATTTCTCTCACAGGTACTTAAATTTATAATTAAAATCACATCATAGGGTTTTTTTAAAATTAATAATTGATGTTTGAGAACATACTAAAAATATTTTTATATTATATTAAATATTATCACTTTCTCTGAATAGTTTTTTTTTATTTTGGTTTAATGATGACAGTTTTCCATATAAAACCAGTTCAGCTTTCACTATAATCCACACACAAACAGCTAGTGAACGGTTTTCATAGTATTATTTGTTTATTATTTTATTCATATCAATAATATTTTGAATTATATTGTCAATGAACATTTTTTTAAAGAAAATAAAACGAATAAGATCGATTAAACTGCCAAACAGTGGTTATGTGAGCAATATGTAAATTATAAAAAAATTAAAAAATAATTAATTTTAAATTAATATCGAGTGTTTTAAAAATCATTTCATTTTCCAAAATTTATGAAAACGAGATATTTAAGGGTCCATAATATACTGTTTGTAATATAGGTCAGGCGTGTATGTACATATATAAAGATTATTCAATGCAATCGACCATTAAGTCTGTATGTTATGAATGAATGTAACAATATGTTATGAAACTGTAGTAGGTAAAGCATTGTTAAATTCGGTGAATAATTTGTACGTGACAATGTATTTTTTATACGATAATATATATATATATATATAATTCAGTGTAGCTATATATAATAAATATTACATACCTTATATACATAGATCTGTAAATTACGTGTAAATACCTAATACATAAGGTATTATGAAATTAAACGCGATGCAAAAGAAATATTACTGACTAAGGATAAATTATTATTGTTTCTTAAGAAAAATAATATTGTGATTAAGTACTTAATAACAATACATATTTTTAATATGCCCAATTTAGAGATAAATACACATAACTTTGAATGTTTTGAAGTGGTGTCAATGGGCTCCTTCTTCATGCACGATATTCATGCGTTGTAACATATTGTTCAGACATTTTTACTTATTGTATTATGTATACAGATTTTAATATTTTCTTAATAAAAAAAAAAAAAACTTTGAATGCAAACCGTTGAAATTATATCGTTTTAGAGTGAAGAAGCTGCGGACCGCCCTCAATATCAAGCACTGGTTGATCCTTTACAATCTGACGAGACCACAGATTCGAAACAAGAGGAACTGCCAGTTCATCAGCAATCTACCAGAAACACCGAGAGTCAGACCACTGGAATTGATCAATCAGCCACTCCAGTTCAAATTAAGTTGCCATTGGAATTAGATTTTGACGAAATCGTTGGAGTGAGTTTATTATTATTTACCCAATGAGCAATAATATAATTAATAATTGAACAATGAGAGTAATATATAATTATTATATACTGTCTGATATACCCTCTTCGTTGAGTTAGTTTTTAATTATTTTTAATAAATGTTTTTATTATAAAAATATATAAATTTAATTATACTAAGTACGAGTCGGTACACAATATTTTTGGTTAACTTATATTCTACAAACACAAATAGATTCGATGGTTTCCCTCCACGTCAATGCAAAATAAAGAAATATCAATTTTTCAAGTCCAAACTGTAAATGGACATTATTTGGCATTAAGACTTATTTATGGTCATCGCGAAAGCCAAACGAATAGGAAATTGAAGCCTTTTGAATTGTATTGGAGATTCTGACGGTATCAATAGAATATGTGGCAACAGAACGATTTCTCCATTAAACTTTCCACTCAAAATGGTTGCTTTAAGAACATTTCCGGTGATGTTTTTGATAACCATGTTAAATTGGTTCCTTATAAAATAGCGTGGAACATCGGTATATAATAACGTTTGTGTGAATTGGCCGAAAACATTAGGTTTTTGACCCAACGTAAAAAATTCAGTTAGTATTGTTTTTGGTGTTAAAGTGCTCTTTGAAGAAAACTTTCTTCTGTGAAATAAACACGTTGACCGTTTTTAAGATGTATTGCATAGTTATAGCCACCCATGTTGGGTCCGTATGCAAGGGAGGAGTTAGGGGTTCTACCTTTCCACATTTAGGATATTTTTACTTAAATTTTTAATAAGAATATAGTTCTTATTTTATAACAGTTAAACTAACTTCAAAATTCATATATTGTTGTCTATTTTTGTATTAACTCTGTCAATTTACTCGATTTGACGTACTTGTCTTTTGAATTTTTACGCTTTTCCCACCTACTGTCGATTATCGCTGTAAACGCAACAATAGATAAAACGTATTTTTACTGACTAATCAGTTGTCCAAGCTGTTCAGAAATTTATTGATATTTATTGATTTTCGATCCTGATATTTTTGATAATTGATATTCCAACTGCATTTTATTAATGATTTCATAATCTAACATAACGAATATAATTTTAAATCCCGCCTACTTTGAATGATTTTTGCGCATGGAACTGACCTTTGTTCTCGATATAAGTTACCGCAAACATTCAACACGCAGTTTACGAGATACTTGAGCAAGACTCTCTCTAGTCCTGATAGTCTTTGAGCTGTGATTCTTACCTCGATTTTATTGAAGTTCCCTTTAACACGTTTGCTCATGCCTTTTTGGTACAGTGAATTCTTAATAATCTGATAAATATCAGACTAAAGGACTGTTGGATTAATGAAAATGCTGGATTAATAGAGTTTTATATAAAAACGCATCTTTACTTATTAAAAAACCATAATTAATTTTACTATAACTTTTAAATAATGCATATGTACATTCATACTAATTTGTGATACATTGTAAATTAATGTTTTGACTCTATAGTTTAAGAAAAAATATGTATAACAATTCGTTTTTGCTTTTTTGTTTCAAATTATACTTTTAAGATAAAATACTACTAGATTATCGTTCGGCCGGATTATCGAGAGTTTAATATATTTCGATTGTGGAGGTTAGGTTTTTTTGATGTTATTAATATAAAATAGAAATCATAACATGAGAAGCAAACAAATAATACTCATACGTTTTTATTCGTTTTTGGTTGTATAAATTATTGTTACTGAGGTAATAATATAGGTGTCAATAAACTTACTCCACCGCCATCTGTTAATAAGAATAACTATAAATAATTGATATTTATTTCAAAAGGCTCTACTTGAGAAAAATCAACGTTCACGTATGAATTGCGTAATTGAAAAGAAACGCGCTGAAGAGGTTATGGACCATCAACCAAAAATGCTGCGTCTGCCATTTGGCGTGAACATTACCACGGACCCTAGGTTTGAACATGTTACCGGCGAACGGTTAAGCATCGTTTGCGAGAGTGGACATGATGAAAGGTAAAAACTAGATTAATTTTATTGTGTTACGCACCAGTTATCAAGCATTGGTCAAATAAAAAAAACTAATAATTGTTTTATTTTAATTTCAAATCACGTTTTTTATAAGCAATTGTTTAATATATTTTGATGAGACTAGTTGAAATCCCCTTACTCATCTACAAGGCTACCTCGAAAATGTAATTGAATCTAGGTGATGGTCGTGTTACAAATACTTCTAGTGATCTGGAATAGAGAAAAATATAATAATATAACAAGCATGTAAACATTTTGTTACGATTAAAATATTGGGTAAATATTTAACAGGCAAAAGTAAATTTAATAAATTCAAAAAATCAATGTTTGATCCAAAGTAGTTCGTAAATATTATATTTTAATACATTTCTTAATAATTTATTTGAAATAAAATGTAATATTTTATTTGCAGATGGGTATAAAATTTAAAGTCAATAATACATTTATTATGTTTATGTTTTATAACAGACGAGCTCCAAGTCCAGCAGAACAAATGCAACAACAACCATCAATGATGATGCCAATCCCTATGGGAGCTAATCCAATGACCCACTTACCAAGCATGATGGGTCCACCACCTCCACCACCCCACCATATGCCACACCCTCACCATCATCAAGGTCCAATTCCTTTAGCTATGATTGCTAGAATTAATGCTGACATTGACAACCAGCTTCAGTTACAAGAACAACAACAGATCGAAGAACACATAATACCTATATTCCAACAACTTTTGCCTGAACTCAGACCAACACCAGATAATCAGGATCATCAACAGCACCAAAAGCAAGAAGCTGAAGATAGAGCATTACCCAATAAAGTTTTGTATCATCCAGCAATGGCTGAAGGGAGATCCATGTACACAGTAGCTATATCTGACAAACAAAACGGAGAAGGACCAATGATGCACCAGGCTATGCCATCCGAAGGAGTTCGTCAAAATGCACAGATATTCCAAAGGGTTCCTATTCATGTACCTGTATCTATGTTGATGGCACCAGGTTCTGAACCTTCGGTTCCACAAGATAATCCAGTCGAAGAGCCTAAACAAGATCATCGTCCACACTGTGCGTATTTTATGTTCAGTTTAATTATTTTTATATTTATTATTTAGACACTTCAATATTCATTATAATCATTATCATCTAACGGGATCAAGTCTTACTATGGGTTATTTTTTATTGGTTAGAAAATTAAAAACTAGGAGGTATAATTTATTATACTACATGCAAGTGTCTTGATGGTCTTCGTTAAAGTAGAATTCCTTTGAAAGAAGTTTGAAATTATTTCATCCAGTACCTTGATTAACGGTTAAATTAATCATATATTATTTTTTTTCAGTTGTTCATCCACGTTCAGTTGAATCTGTTCAAGAAATCAACCAAAATGAAGAGATGGACGCAAAAAAATAAATAAAGTTGAAAAGCATATATTATATATATAAACTAATTTTTTTATAATGAAAAATGAGTAGATCTTTTGTTAATGTTGGTACATTTTTAAAATAAGCCCAAATTGACATTAGAATTACAAAAATCAAATAATAATTAAACTTTATGTCGATATTTGATATCAAGAAAACAGTGTATTTGGTATACATAAAATATATATTAGATTTTTGTTTACAAGTTAGTATTTTTAAGATTTGTTAATGTTAATTGTGATAGATTGCTTTTAAATAAAATAAATATTCAATTTTGTTAAAACACATTCATTTTAATTATTAGAGTTTAAATAGGTCAATATTACCAAAATAATTTTAACGCCAATATATTAAGTAAGTGCATAAAAATATATTTATATATCAGTGTAGTATAAAAATTTTAAATTTTAATAATTTAGGGTTTTCTTAATTTCCTTATCATTTTCTGTATAGTATTAAGGTCCTACAAAATTTGTCAAATAACAATCAAACATATATTTATTAAATAAGTCACTTTTTAAATTAACTTGCTCAAGTTAATTTTAACATTCATTATTATAATTTTACCGGTTACAGGTTGTTTTAAGATTTTAAATACTATATTATTGTTATTTAATTTAAAAATAGTAAATACATAGTATAAATCATAAAAAACAAAAATGAAAAAGGAAATCTGTTATTCTTTTTGAAGGAATACTACGTGCTATTAAAATTATGACTAAGTTCAGATTTGTTTGATTAGGAATTTATATTTATATTCACAAAATATTTTATAACAAATTGTGCAATGTTAAATTTTTTAGAGAAAAAATTACACTAATTCAACTTTAGTCCTTGGACGGATAATTTTCCTTATCTTCTACAATACAAAAAATGTAAAACTACCAATAATTGAAATTAACAATATTTGTGGTAATATCTTAATGTAATTTTAATAATAAAAAACCTTAATAACTTGGAATATAAACCGAAGGATGAAATTACCGCTTCTTTATTTTTTACAGCAGCACGGTTGGCTGCAAAATTACTCTTTTTTTAAATTATTTTACAATAGTAACATAGTTAAAAACTCATAAGAAAATTATAAATTACGTTTAAAAGTGATTTCTCTGAACAATTTTCAATACTATTCTACCTAATCTATAAATAACTTAAAAAATATATAATTAAATAAAGTTTGAACAAAAAAAAAGTATTAATACCTTAAGAACAATAATTCATAAAATTATGCTACGATCTACTGTGCCTAACAAATTTAAATCTAAAAATCTGAGAAAATAAACAAAATCAATTTGTATTCAAAATTGTAGTTCTAATAATATGGTTTCTTAAAGATTTAAAAATGAGTTACATACCTATATGATATTTTTTTTTTAATTGGGTGGTTCTAATTGATAGTATCTTATTTAGTTGATAATTTTAATTCATGGTAAAACGTATAGATAATTTTTTTTAGTTTTTATTACTTTTTAATTTATTAATTATTTTATTTATATATTAATAATTAATTAATTAATTTAGCTTTTTACAATTTAAAACTATGAATTTATAAGTAATGTACGGACGTGAAATATCTACATGAAACTATATTATTACACAGTTAATGCGTTTATAAATAATTTAAATAATTAAATAATTATCTTCGTAATAATTTATTACCTATTCAGGTTCCGTTAAAGCAGATAAAATACCTACTTGAAATACATAATTTATCATCTTTTATTGATTTTTAATATATCAAATAATTAACAATCAAATAATGAAAAAGTAATAGAACCTAAAAATTAGATTAATTAAAATTTAAAATTCAGTTATTTCCAAGAAAAATCCTTTTTATCATTATAGTAATTAACAAAAATCAAAATTTCAAATTAGTAAATAACTATGGTATACTAACCCAATTATACGAGAAAAATGAATTTACTGTCAGTCCATAACTTCTCAATAAAATTTAAGGTGATTCAGAAAATTCCAAATCATTGAAAGAAATTTTTTTGTAAAAGTGATTGTATTGATAAAAAATGTAAGTAAAAAAGTTTATCTTTATTGTGAAATTAAAAATTTTATAACAATTTATTATGCGATAATAAATAAATAAAATACTATAAATTAATTTACTATAATGTTCGTTTTTTTTAAAAAATGTCGATAACTGTAATTTTCAGTCATCAATCTTTATCTTTTAAAAATATCTGTCTTTAAATTTAAATTGTTCGTATGACATATCTTTAAACTATTTATATGGATAACGTAATTTATTCATTAGTCATGTGCTGTTAAATGTACAGTGTTAATTATTAATAGAAAAGGTACCAAATTTAGGTATTAGTCAAAAGCAGTGGCTTAACTTCTGATTAACTTATCTAAGATCAGCGGTACTCCTGACACTAGCCATAATATATATATATAAATATATGTTAGCGTTAATGCATAAAATTCTGTGATTCTATAAAATAACTCATTTTTCTATAAAATTACACATACTTTCAGTTAATGTATTAAATGAATCAATAAATACATATTTCAACTAGTTATTCTATATATTAACTAGGTATTTTATAAACTAACAATGAGGGTTTAGTTAATTTATTTAAAACTATTATTATATAAAATATAAATATTCATTTATTTCACGTAAATTTATTAGAATTATTAAAATCTTAAACAAATTACAAATAAAAATCAAAAAATCAATAGTTATAAATAGTTTTTATATGTATAATTATAAACTTTTTCTACTATTATAATTACAATTATTTAATTATTTTACTATTATTTTTTTTTTACAATTTACAATTTATTTATTAGTACACGAAATTTTTGGATGGTATTTAGAGTTACAAAGTAAATTATCTTTTAAACATATGCATCGTTTTGTGGTGCACTTTTGTTAAAATGTGCATTTGAAAAACCCTTGACCATTACCTAATGATTGGGACTCGGATGACTTTCGAAGACAAATAAATATTTACATCTGGGACATCGCTAAGCATAATACAATTTTCTGCACATAATCTAAATTGTGACCTTGTGTATAATTGTTTCCATATTTAGTACTTAAAATAAAATGATTTTAATTATTAGTAAATAAATAAAACAATGATTAATACAAAAAAATTACCTAAGCCATAAAATCCGTCGTTTGTTTTTTAATACTATTTCAACTATAAATTATGGATCACATTTTGACCTATCAACATCTGGGATATTGATTCGTTACATCCTTAAAGAGTAGATGGATGAGATAAATCGGATTGTAGTTCTAAGTATTCTTTTGCTTCTTATCTTTTATTGGTAATATTTTTTTTATTTATAAATAATTAACACAATTCTTCCTTGGCATTCCTTTTATTTTTTCATAAATATACATTGCATATCTTAGTTATTTTTCTCTAAATATTTGTTAAATTTACTAATAAAATTGTTATCAATTTTTTTGTTTAAAACTTGTAAAATATTGTCTGGTGTATTTAAAGAAATTCCTACTTTTGGGGAACATCCAAACATAGCTTCATAAGGAGTTCGTCCTATCCCTTTACGAAAAGATTTATTTTTCATAAATTGAATAAACCTTAGCTCTTCACTCCATTTTGTAATGTTGTTGTCTTTCATCCAGGTAATTATCATATTTTTTATACCTTGATTTGCCCTCTCCACTGATACTTGGGATTGACTGTGGCGAGGTTTGCTATGAATAATAGATAATTCAGTCCACATTTCTTTTAATGAATCTATTGTTTGGTTTCTGAATTTACGACCGTTGTCACTTTGTAGTACACTTGGAACATCGAACACTGTAAAAATATCTAAAAGATAATACGCTACTTCTTCAGCTCTTTTTTTTTTAAAAAAATACAAAATTTAGTCAAATGATTTGATACACCAACACAAATGAATATTCACCATCTGCTCGACTTTGATAATCAATAAAATCTAATTGACATCTACTATTTAATTTAGCAAAAAAAAAAATTATAGGATTTGTCACGATACTTATTTTTTTCATTGTTTTGTTTTTTACACATGATTCGCATGAATTTTAAAAAAAAAATTTGGCGTTTCATTGATTTCAGTTGGTAGGGCAAGTGGGTAAGCGTGTCTCAGGCTCTGTTGGTATAAGGACGCTGAAAATGAAAAAAAATTATGAAAAATGAAAAATGTCATGAAAATATCCCGTACTTCCACCTACGTAATGATGCTACGCTTTAATTAGCCCCGGGCTTCACATTTTATAAATCCGGCATTTTTAATACGTTTATTTGTACGAATCGCATTCAACGTAAAACTATGAACTTATTAGTCATAATGCGATATTGGTAAAAAAATCTACAAAAAGACAAATTAAAGATTTATTCGTTTACGTTTCACCTGGTTCAATTAAATTTAACCGTGTACTAAAACAGTTTAATTAGCTTTTAAAAACTTCGCGAAAACCAATAAATCAAGATATAATGTATGTAAAAAAACAACATAATGTTCTGCGATATTATTGTTTTAAGAATGATCACAGTTTGGGCTCGACCTTCTACCTGTGCTGATGCATGTCCCTTGCTAGCTCTCTTATCAGCAGTGCAATTACATAGATTATATATTTATTTTAATCTAATACACGACAATGTCGTTTTTTTCGGGAGGCGGCAATAACGAACCTCCCGGTCGCAAAAACCACCAACCTCAAGGTAACCACAACGAGGAAACAACCTGTTCTGCATGAATTCTCTATTTATTCGAAAAAGGGTAAGAATAATTCAAATCCGGTTTCTCCTAATTTTAAGTCCTTAAGTGATAATCCACCTATATTAGATATATCTAACGTTAGACACATTAATAGTAATGACTCTATAGAGTTTAATTTCGATACGGACATCAGTCCAATGTCCACGGATAACGTGGTGACAGATAACAATTCAATCGTCGATACGCAATTAAATTCTATTGACAATGATCATACTATCTCGTACGATTATGGCAATGATAGTTCAGGTATATCAATTGTAAATAATTCGATCACCGATGCCAATTTACTCTCGTTTTCGGATTCCTATCAGAGCCCGCTATACGTAATAATTGACGCTATCGGCAAAAACTTGCAGCTTGGCAAATTGCACCCTATGAAGATAGGCAAACTTATACATGGAAAGGTTATTGGTGTTACGGAAATCAAAGCTTTAGGCGCTAGAGTTAGACTGACATTCGACAGCG